AGGCTCCACACCCCCACCTCGTTGGATAACACAAGCAGCTGTAGTTTGGTGATGAGACCACCCGTGCCGGAGGTCCCAGCGGCAGCGCGTAGCGCACGCTCCACCACAACGTCATCCCCGCCGTTCACGGGATCAAATGAGGACACATGTGTGTTATCCTCGTTTTTAATTATATTGTTGTTATTTTTATTTCCATTGGCGTCTGTAGGTAGTCGGAGAGCATCCTTCATCAGCTTACCCACAACATACATGGCGTTTGTGCCATACAACAATGTTGAATGCGGATTGCGCTGAAACGCCGTCTCATCGTCCGCGTCGGCCTCGTTGAGGCTGCAGATGGCGTTCACAACGGCATGAAGCACATTCACCGCCGCCTGATCGCAACGCAACCGCCACAAGGCACGACAGATAAGAACTGCACGGTGCTCCTCCCTCAATGCACATCCCTGCAGCAACAGTGGCACAGTGCGACGCCACTCATCGTGCGGCAGATGGGCGTCCAAGACGGCTACAACAAGTGGCAGTACTCGGGCGGCATTCGTCGTGTTGGGGGCTGAGTTCATGAGTGTTCCCTGAACATGTAAAGAGACTTCACATAGCTGATAGAAAATATTCTGACGGCCAGTGGACAACAACATGGCGTCTTCCTTTTCCTCCTCCGTGTCTTTTGTCTCAGACTCCGCAGCAACAGCAGCAGCATGTGGAGGTGCAGAGGAAATAAACGATGATTCGGCACGCAGCCACGCCAGGATCGCCGTCGCGTCAAGGGATCTGGTCAAGAACGCCTGATGCGGTGCCATCACCTCGGAGGATTGCAGAAGAGACGCAAGCACCTCATTCTCATCACTCAACAGGTGCAGCACTTCACTCGCTGCAACAGCCACTGCCGCCAAAAGCTCCGCCTCACGTCGTTTGTATTGCCGTAGCCACATCACGCCACGTCGTTCCACGGGAGGTTCATACAACAGTGCCGGATGCTGCAACGTTTCCCACACGACACCGGTTGTTGTCTCCAGCAGGGACAATAATGCGTGAAGAACACCGGGGGCGGAGAAGGCTTCCGCGATGTTCTCACTGCCTTCCACACAGACGGCGATAAGCTGGAGCACCTCCTCCAGGGCGCGGCAGGCAATCATGAACGGCGCGTGCAGAAGATCCTCATTCGCGCCACATCCCTCCGTCACCCGCTCTTCCTCATTACTCATGGCGCCAACATCTTCGTTTTTGCTCACGACCGCAGGTGGGGCCAAAGGCGCCTCCCGACGTGTCTTTTGCACAGTGTCCCACGCAGACATCAGGAGGGTGACCAGTCCTTCACGAAACCCGATACGTCTCCCTTCTCCCTGTTCTTGCTGCAGCTGCGACTGCTGCCCTGAATCACTTGTAGGAAAGGTGGAGGCAGCCAACACATCCACGACGGCATCCTCAGCGCTGTTGACAACGAGGTTTCGAAGAGCCTCCGCGGCGGCAGTCTGCAGGTAAAAGCCTCCAGAATGAGGTTGCCGTGGGGCATGGCCGCTATTGCTGCAGTCGCCTTCTTGGGATTGGCCAACCGACGATGGTGCGGTGAAAAGAATCTCCACAAGTCGCTGCGGCACGGCACAGGCTAACAGCTGCGCGTGCTGCGATGGCCGCAGCGCGAATGCCGCCACGTCCGCACAACCCTCCTCCAGCACATGCCAGTGCTGCGCGTTCAACTTCGCCACGCACGGAGGAGCCGGTGGGACATGCCTGGTCGCCGTGCTGCCGTCCTCGGCATTCTTCGCGTTGGAGTTTGCCGCGCGCGATTTTGGCCTGCGCCCTCTTTTGGCGTGACTGCCCATTCTTCGCCTCGCGTGTCTGTTCTTCTCGCGTTCCTTCCTTGTAAGAATGTTGCACCATGGCATTGCGCAGAGCGATAGATAGAGATTGAGAAAAGAAAAAAAAAGTGAGAGAGAAAGCGAGAGCAACAGCAAAAAAATATCAACTTTACCGCAAGAGCCACATTTTTTTTTTTTTTTTTTTTTTTTTGAGATGTCGCATAGGTTGGCATCTACGTGTGCATACATGTATTCGTCTGACTTCATGACAAACCGGAGGAACCCGTGCAGCTAACGGCCCGCACTACCGTTCGTTCCTCCCCTCCTTTATTCCATACAAATTACAACAACAACAACAACAAAAAATACACACAGACACACAGAGAGGGATGAACGCATAATAATAATAATAATAATAGACATATTTTCGCATGATGCCTATTACCGACTCTAGAGATGCATGACGCTTCCAAAACATGCCTTCACCGCATTCCTTGCAAAGGGAATGTACGACAATACGTACCATATCAGTGCTCCACACTGTACCAGACACAGCAGCAGCACCAGCAGGGCGTTGTGTAGCAGGATTGCGCATAAAAGTGTGAGAGTAACGGACACAAGGTACACCGTTGTTGCTATCCATCTTTTTTCGGCAAACATGCGCTGCAATTGTGCCGTGGGGCCAGCAAGAAACAACAGGCCAATAATTGAGACAATGTTACCGAGAGAGAAAAGAACGCTAAAGAAAACCAAATCCATTTGAAGAATTGCAATAAAACTGAGGATCGAAAAGAGCATGCCGAGAGAGACACATAATCCACAGCCAATCAACCGCTGCTTCCATGTGAGAGACGGGCACAACGACTCGGAGTCACTTGCCTCAAAGACACCCTCACCCCCCGTCACCGCCGAGGCCGCCCGGCTGTTGGACGCAATACTCACAACACTTGTCAGTTTATCCATTTTTCTTTCTACCACAATCCCCTCGCTGTCTCTGTGTATGTATGGATGTATCTATCTATTTGTGTGTGTGTGTGTGTTGCCACA